GTCATCTTTGAGCGTGAAGGAGAACTCTCGATTCTGAAAGTAGTTCTTCTGCACTGAAGTTGTAGAAGAAAAACAATATATTAGTCCTGTATAGTCAGTGGTTCCCAACCTTTTTTGTCAGACATACGTAGGTCAGGTGAACTCATGTGTCAAACTACCTGGGAGATTCCAAATATGTAGATTTAAATCAACTTAAAACCAGATTTAATTTAACTATAAAAGATAGAAAGTGGAAATACAGTAACAGTATTTACCATGTAACAAAAACACTCTCATACAACTATAATTTATTTGTACTTTGGAAAAGCACGTGCTGGTAGTGTAATACCTGTTTATCCATTACTTTTAGGTATTATTTTTGAACCATTTATCCTATATTTCCTTTAGCTAACTAATTCAATTGTTTGGACACTTGGAAACATTTTGTATTATGTGACACTTTCAGTCACATATTGTTCAGTTGTTATAGTAGCTGATTTATGTATTTTTTTAATAAAATTTATTTCTCAGATGAGATGAGCTACTACACTGTTTTTGTATGTACCCATAGAAAACTGCAGAAGCACACATGTGAGTACGCCATGTTGGGAATCATTGCCTCTTTTTCACATTTCAATTGCAACTGTTCTGATCTATAATTATCTTCTTGACTTTGCCTATATTTGTACTCTTACTGTGTTTATTGTAGCAGTCAAAAACATTTGTAGTTATTCAAATACTACTTTCCAATAAATATTATTCTCATTGTTGTGTTGTTTGCTCCTTGACTTTGCAATAGGAGGGAATAAGCACACCATGCCGAACAAACAATATGCTTCATAATGTCATCAAAACCTGCCACTGAGCTCTCTAATTTAGCAAATAACAAAACATAAGTTAACAACATAATGAATTCATCTTGCTAATGTTATGTATTGCTAGCTTTCAGCGGGCTGTCTAATGACGACACTCACCTCCTCCATAGTTCAGCCAGCGGTAATACTGTGAGAAGGGGAACAGCCGTCGGTAGTACAGCGGCAATATGTCCGGCAGACAGGCCGAGTCATAATCTGAGGCCGGCATTACCTGACAGTGCAGTAACAGAATCGTTACAGTTGTAAAAATATGTTAAATTAACAGAAAGAAGCTAGCTTGCGGCCGCTACAGACTGACAGTTCAGTGTGTTGTTTTACACTGAGAGTAGCGCGGGAAAAGACTCAAGGAAGGGAGAGGGAGAGAGCCAATGAGAACATTATTACACAATGACGTCATCAAAAGCGGAAATAGTTTTTAAATGTTTTTTTTATTTGCAGCATCAAATATACTACCAAGGGAATGTAATGTCAAATGGATATGAGTAAATTGTATGTAAATACTTGCCGCGCTATAAAAGATTATATCTGACTTTTTCAAAGCTTTATTTAACCTTGTAATGTGTGTCCTACAACGGAAGTGAAGGCGGAAGTGTCAACGTTCTGAGAGAGCATTATGGGATGGGTAGGCATTTGCATAGATATCTATGGGCATTTGACTCTACTGCAAGTCCTTTTTTATTTTTGTTTTGTTTTACCCATCAACCAATAAAAACGTAATTTCACTATTGGCTGAGTATTTGTGTATATATGTGTGTCACAAATAATATCCCTTGCAATGTAGTAATTTATATACTACACCTCTAGAGGGCAGTACCGTTTAAGGACAAATATTATAATACCCCATTCAAGGGATTGTGGGGGTCCTTTTCCTCATGGACTGAAAAATGATCAGTTGCTCTTTGGACTGTGGGCTGTGCATTACCGTATATATGATTTACGATCTAATTGTATTCATTTCGTCTCATCTATAGCTTCACTCTGTTGTCATTAAACCTCTCTATAATTGCCATGCACTGGCTCTGTCATTTTGCCTTTATTACACACAACATGGATATTTGATAGAATGTAAATGGAAAGACCTTTTACACACAAACACTTGTATGTACAGTGCAGCTGCCATTTAAACATGCCTCACTTACAACTTAACTTGCAGTATGTGAAATGTAACTATGAAAACGTTAAGAAACAAAATAAATGTATTAACTTTTGCACATCAATATTTTTTGTGCACACCTTTCCAACCACGACCCGTCCATTCCTCTGCACTCCATTGAATCCAGTTGTTTCAGAAAGGTTGACGTTGACAGTGAGTATTACCTTTCACCGTTGCAATTATCCAACTGTTATCATAGTATGCTACGGTATGGGAAAAACCTGTGAAGTTGATTAATGGTAATGAACTTCTGTCTCTTTGCAGCATCACTGAACTGTGCCACATTCAGGAGCAATTTATAGACAAGCATGCCAATACATTTCCACTTGATGATTGGACTTGTGTTTATGGTAATATTTTTTAGTCATATCCTGATTTACATAATGAAAAAGCTCTCAACCGCATCTTACTTGAATTATGCTAATTGTTTTTGCTGAAGGCCACAGGGGATGTGGTTAGTCCTTTCTTAGAAATGATTTGAAATGGATTTGGGATTAACAATGTCTGTTTCTACTGACGCTACAGCTGAATGTCAACAAGTTTGGTGCAAATAAATGCGCATTACATAAAGTAGCTGCTACCCTAAAATATAACTTTACTTCAGCTTTTCTGTGGCTGATCATGCAAGTATGTAAGCGGACATCTCATAATGAGAACTTATTGCAGTGGTGAAGGAATTGATCAGATTTTAAAGGTCCCATGTCATGCTTTAACGGTTATTACCCGTCCCCTTGTGTTATGAAGGTTTTTATGCATGTAAACGGTCTGCAGAGTCAAAAACCATCAAAGTACACCCTGTAGCGAGTAAAACTCTAACACAGTCTATGCTGCCCCAAAACGCCTCGTTGGAGATTTCTCATTTTCCATTGTTTACTTCCTGGGTACTGTGACGTGTGAATACCCAGAGGCCACACCCTCTGCCAGTCTTTCACGAAACAGAGCTTCACAAACCTTTCAGCGATTCACGCCGGATATGTACAGCGTAGGGCTGAAGAACGATGCTGTTCCTCCTTTGTTTGGACCAGCGGGAGATTCGGGTATACACAACCTGTAAGTATTGATTGTTGTTTGTGTATTTATGATGTTTAAAACACACAAGGTATGTTTAAATGGGTAAACGTTTTTCGGGCTGCTAAGTTGGGATCGCGGAGAAATGCTCTCCGCAGACCATGCTCATAGCGTTATAAACCTTTTTCTTACTCAATATCAAGCAACACTTACCGTTTTTACTTCGGCTGTGAGTGTTTGTGTGTGCTCAGGGTGAGTTTAGCTTGTTCTCGCTGTATCGCCGACCCGGAAGCCTGTCCGCTCCTCGCAGCAGATCGCAGCAACGAGCCTCGCAATGTCTCGACCAATCAGAGCACACTGGGCTCACAGGGAGGGGGGGTCAGGAGCTCCAACAAGCCATTTAGGACAGAGAGTGAATACCGGTGAATACACATACTTTACAGAGATGCTGTATGAGAAACCAACGTGAGTTTGGAACATTGCACAGTGTAAATCTATTCTAGTATACCTCAACAATGGAATTATGATCAGTAGAAATGGGCATGACATGGGCCCTTTAACTAAAAATATGTTAGAAGAGGTCAGTGGGCACAGTGTAAGCTTGGACAAACAACTTTAAACAAAGCCTACCCAAGGTGCCAATTGTCGTTTAAACAACTCAACCAGAGCCACATTAGCATCAAAATAAAAGGTGTTTAAAAATAATTTCCAAAAATTCTATAAACACTCAAACACAACATATCCAAACAACACAACTCAAATTAATATATTGTTTTAATCAAGAATTGTAAAATAGGAAATGACAACAAAAAAACAGCAATCACTATGAACTAGTTCAAGCTGTATTTAGTAACAGGGACAGTATGTGCCATCAAAGGCAGGCAAGCACATGAAGGCATGCATGGTATTCTATTCTCAAGAGGTCTATAGTATTCCGTTTTAAGAAGCAATGCTTTGAAATACCACCAGGGGTCACTATTGCTACAGTTTAAAAATAAAAAATGTACACTTGTTTCACTTTTCAATAACCATGTTTCTATAACATTTAATGATTTAGATCCTTATGACGAAAATAAATGTCCCATACATGGTCTAATCTCGTGTTATTTCATTGTTTTCTAAAGCAAGTTTTAAAATCCTGATGTATTTGATGCATTTACATTCTCCCTCAATAGCTCTCTAAATTTTGATGGAATCAAAAGGCACAGATACTAGCACATAGTTACCATATTGTGTTTCAGTAATGACTTTAACTGTGTTGTTTGCATAGTTGTTCAACAAGTCAGTTAAGGAACCAGGCAACCACTTCCTCTCCCTCACATGTCCTCTCTACTCTTTGGATTAACCACATTCACACACTCAAGCATTCAACCTACTCCAAATAGCAGTACTTTGTGTGTTTTTGATAGATTATCAGTTGAAAAATTGTCCTGCTTTGAAATGAATGTGGTCTCTGTTAATCAGTTATGGGTGATATGGTCACATGATTTGAACACTGGCTTCCTTGTTTTCAGTGGGAAGTTTTGGTGTTAATGTGACATGAACGTAATGAATTTCCATACTGGATATATGCTGCTTTCATTTTCCCACCCTAAAAGCAAAAACATATTTATATTACTGTTTTTATTCAAATGTAATGAATTTTAAACATATTCTGGCATATTAAACAAAAGCCATATTACCATCATATCATCCGGCTCTTTACTTAGAAAACCCAGCTAACAAATTGTGTAAAACCTGCAAATTTGAATGTGAAAGCTGATACAAGTGTCTTGTGGTTTCTTTCAACTAATCATAACCTGTACAATAACTGTGACTATTGTTAACCATTGTGAGATTAAAACATCATAAAACTACCCTTTGTTAAATGAATACAGAGCTAAAACGAAACATCTGTTCAGCACCTGTAAAGGCATAGTTTCTGCTTCAGAAAGCTGGGTGGGATCATTGTAAGTGAAACCCTTCCCTTTTGTATGTCATTCACATTGAAATAGCTTCCTCATCTTGATGGCACTCCCCTTACTGACCCGGGTTGTGTGCAAAAGGAAGTCAACTGACGTGTACTGTAGGATTCTTATCAGTGACGGTACAGATTAACAGCAGACGGAAATATACAAAATCTTGTTCGACATTGAAAGGAGACCATCCTGTCCGTTTTCTACAAGAGCAGAGGCAACAAACAGAAACTCTAAACAGAAAGTTCACGCGCTACAGGAGGCAAGTTTGGACACGTTTTGTTTCCTGGGACGTCTGTTTACTCTGAGGATCTGCCTGAGGAAGTCTGTCATTGTGAGAGCTTTTATAAGTTTGTTTGAGGACTTGTTAGTTGTAGGTAAACTTCAAGTGTGTCAAGTTTCACACTGGACACTCAGGACTCTCAGGACACTCAGCATTGTCACTCTCTCACCACTAGAGGGCCCTGTATGACAATTTACAGGAAGTATAGTTATTGCTCTAATATCTAAAGAAGAAATTATGATTCAATTGGCCAATAATTAAGTCTTTCTTGTTTTATTACATAGGTGTGTTTTTTGTTTGTGTTTCATATCAATTAGGTCTAAAGGTAGGATAATGCCCTTCAAATTACAAGAGCTAATATAATTATATTGTAGACAGAAAACACAGCAATACACTTTCAATTAACAAGTCATACAATTGTTTTAAAAACGGATACAAGTGCGTAAAAATTTGTATCACTAATTATTGACAAGGTGTTGCCAACCTGATCCGGTGACGTGAACAAGGAAGCTGCACCCAGGTAAATAAAACCTGTCTGTCTGCTCTTTGTTAGGAACACCTTTGACTTGCAAAGTGTAAAGAAAGAGTATAGTGTTGTGCTGTTAGAGAGCCGATGAGTGTTCAGGACTCAACTTCAGGGGTAGCAACATGCTGAAAAAACTCTTTCAAGTCCTGTGCTTCTTTGCTTTTTTCACTCTGGCATGTTTTGTGGTGCTTCTATACTTTAGAAACGACAGCACTTTAACTCAGTTTAGACAATCGGACGATAAAGTAAAGGTGAACAAGACAGTTCCTCAATGGACCAAAGAACCAAAGAATGGATCCCTTAATCTCACCAAAGAAAAGACAGTGATGGCACCCACTCCAAGGAAGGGTTTGGAACCTTGCCCTGACACCCCCCCGCATCTTGTGGGTCCCCTCTTGGTGGAGTTTAATACCAAAAGATCCTTGGATGATATCAGAAAGGAGATGGGTCCCGTTCTGAAGGAGGGAGGACGATACAAGCCTCCAGACTGCATCGCCCTGCAGAAGGTATGAGAATAAATGCAGAGACAAATGAACACATATTGGATCAGTTTTCTGTATTATTAGATACATGGAATCTATTTTCAAAGAAAGAGGTGTCAAAACTTAATTGAAGTTTGTAATATACATCATATTTATGTGAGAATTCTGACTAAATCACCAACTTTTATGTCCTTTCACTAAGGTGATGGCTTTCATTTTGTATTAAGTATTTTCTTGTTGTGTTAATGTGCTAAAATATATTTATTTTTAAGCGTCACTTTAACTAGACCTATAGTTGTTTAGAATCAAGTAACTGTTTACCTGTTATTTTTTTATTTGTATTTTCTCTTTTTTTTTATAAATATAAAAAATCATAATGAGATCAAAAGTAAAACAATACACAAATGGGCTTCCTATAGCAAACTCACTGCATTAAGCTGCATGATGTAAAATATGGTCAGAATCTAATCATGAAATGCTCAAAAAATGAACAAAGATTATAAACTGAATGCATAGAAGTAACCGTTTTGATGTTAGTTAAGTATAGTGTAAATGTCTCCTGAAATGAGCATGCTAGCCATCATGAGAGAATAAAGAAGAGCTGCCCCTTCTGAGGACTTTTCACAGTTTCATGATTGTGTATTGTATTAATCCATGGTGGGAAAAATTAGTGTAGCAACTCAAAATGAAGCAGATCAAACCCTTGGTACACATCTGTCATGTCAGTTGGTGCCGCCAGCTCGACGTATAAATCTGAACTTCTGCCACGTAGAGCAGGATGTACGAGTATGCTGTATGTTTTCACAGTAACCAGTTTAGCAGATTTTACAGACAATTCTAAGTTTAAAGGTCACCTATGCAAAATCCTCTTCTCCATGTCTATTCTACATCAACATGTGTCCCCTCTGTGAAAAGAGACTTTGAAAATGTCAGGAACAAAGATTCTCTCTCTTTTTGTTCTGATCCATTTCTATAAAAACCTGTCAGCTGATCAGATTTTGGCCACTTTGTGATGTCATAACGATGTGTTGTCTTGTGTAACCATTAGCCCAATCACCAACAAGGTAACCCCCCCCCCACCTTATCACCTGAATCTCCTCCTAGAGCACCATTGTGTTTTTGTTAACCAAATGTCTCTCAGAGGGGCGTGGGGAGGCGCTCCTTATTTTCATCTAAAGTAACAGACAGAGAATCAGCACTTTTGAAACAGGGCTGAAACAGAGGGGATTATGGGTAATGCTGCAATGATCTGTTTGGTATTTCGAGCACTCCAGAGACATGTTTTGTATATATCCGAGATCTTTAATATATTCATGGACAACAGTATAATAGGGGACTTTAAGATAAGATTTATATTTATATTAATGCAAACTTCCTTATTTCACTTGTGTAGGTGGCCATCATCATTGCATTCAGAAATCGGCACGAGCACCTGAAGCACTGGCTGTTTTATCTCCATCCCATACTGATACGACAGCAGTTGGACTACACAGTGTATGTTATCAACCAGGACGGAGAGGGAGTGTTCAACCGGGCTAAACTGATGAATGTCGGCTATGTGGAAGCGCTGAAGGAATATGATTATGATTGCTTTGTCTTCTCTGACATAGATTTGGTTCCCATCGATGACCGTAACCTCTATAGATGTTTTGAAAATCCACGACACTTGGCCGTAGCTATGGACAAGTTTAATTTCAGGTTACCCTACAACACCTTCTTTGGCGGTGTTTCTTCATTGTCCAAGAAGCAATACTTGAAGATCAATGGCTTCCCAAACACCTACTGGGGCTGGGGGGGTGAGGACGATGACATCTACAAGAGAATTGACTTCCGTGGGATGTCCATCTCTCGACCGGACTCTGTGTTGGGAAAGTACAGGATGATCAAACATCAGAGAGACTTGCACAATGAGGTTAATCCAAAGAATCCGGGTAAACTGAGCCAAACTCTTAGAAACATGGATAAAGATGGGCTTAATACCCTCAAATACACAGTCAAGGAGATTGTGAAGGATCTTCTGTACACATTTATCACTGTGGATATTGACGCCCCACCAAGCTAAAGGAAGGAGGAACCTGCGAAACTGGAAATGCTGTTGACTTCAGAAATGTGCTATTGTGTGTGTGTGTGTGTGTGTGTGTGTGTGTGTGTGTGTGTGTGTGTGTGTACAATTTGCGTATGACAATCGTACTTTGAACAGAAAAATGTGAAGGTAACAACATGCAATAGCCAGCATTGTTAAATGGCATACTGACAGTGGATTAAACTTTAAATTAAAGTAAATCGTTTTTTTAAGAAGTGTTGGACACAATATTACTATTTTATATACTTAATGGAGTATTTGGTATTGATGTTACAATGTGCTCAATCATAATAGTTTACAAATGGTATCAGAATATAATTGTTATCGTCTTTTATCAGGTAAAATACAGTTTATCATATACTTCCTCTTGCACAAAGTAATGATAAAATAACCCACATTATACGTAACATTACTAATACTAAGTAAATAAAATGATCATGATATTGTTCGGTAAGAGTAAAAAACGATTAACTTAACTTTAACTTACTACCAATATGACCTTTATTAATGATGTCCACTGTCACCTATTATGTCTGTGTTGGCAAATGATCGGGTGAAGGGTCTTTTATTCATCATTCAACACAATACTTTGTAAATGGGATGATTTTGTACTGAGACATTTGTTTTAATCAAACCATTTATTGTTTTTGTACTTCAGTTTGCTGTGTAGTTGCATCCTGTGAATACTTGAAAGTGTGATGAAATCAACAATGGGTAAATACATGTTATAGTGGTGGGGATGAACAGATTGATTTATCTTTATATTGGAAAGATGGGTTTACTGCTTTTTATGTATGGCCTTTTGCATGTGATGAATGTGCCTTTGTCTTGTGAACTCTAGCAATGTTTTGGAAACTTTTATAAAGATTTTAAAAACAACTGTGAGGACATTTGTGGCCACTGAGCTTGCTTGTGAACATACATTGAGCTTGCAAGCCTAAAGTTATTAAACCCTGTTTCCTTATTTTCAGCAGGCATAGCATCATTCTTAAAAGAGAACAATTCGTCCAACTAACAATTTACAAATTCCTACGTGTCACTTTTCTTCTTTTTTTTTCGGGTTCATGTAATTGTAAAGCTTCTTTTGTAATTGTGTAAGATCATATCCAGTAGCTTGCATGAGAAACACTGCTGTAGCCAAAGGGGAATCAACAGAGTAAATTATAAGCAAACACCCTTACAGCAATTTTAAAAAGCATACTGTTCAAAGTGTGTAGTTTTTCCGCAGTTAATTATGGTTTTCTTTTAGATAACTGAGACTTTGATATAACTTGTTTTGAGATTAAATACATCAAAGTCACTCTTTGTGAAAAATTAAAATTACCCCACGATGAACTGAAACATTGGGTTCATTTCAGTCTCTAGCAAGTTTGATCAAAATTTTCCTTTAAATTGTTGTTTATCCAATTTTGAAATGCTCTTTGAATTCATAGCATGCCTAATTATTAAATAGTTTTCCTAATCTTAGCCCATTTTAAACGCAGAGCAGGCAGAGGGACATTTTTCTGAGGAATGCAGTTTTTGGCGAGTGATGTAAGAGAAAAAGGGCGAGGCAGTGAACTTTAACAATAGGTGTTTGCTTTAGCCATGTGACCCACACTATGTTTCAGTTCTGGCCCTCCAAGGAAAGACATTTCGGCCCCAGTGAGAGAAGTTAAGTATTCATCTCTTCAGCCTAAAGAGCTGGAGTGACCTGTTTGAAACGTTGATATACTTCATATTGAAGGGCAGATGCAAGACGTACACTGAATAAACATAATCGTTGACTTTAATTAAATGTATTATGTCAACACGTAATTGTGTTAGGTTAGCTGAATCAATAATATAAAGTTGAACCTATTTTTTTATTTAAACTTAATATTGTTGGTTTCAACTAAGCTAATGCAATTATGTGAAATGTGTTGACAATATATATTTAATGAAAGGTGCAGCACACACTTTGGAGGGCATGCACACTTGTGATGATGTTCATTATGTTGAGCTGTTTATAATAACATTCACATTTTCACTAAGGGAATTCATTTGGATTGTCAGGTTATGTAGCAGTTGTGTGGTTCGCAAGGGTTTCAGCTAAAATGAAATGAAAGTTCAATATTTAGTTCTAAAACAAAGCCATTGTCCTGTGTATCAAACCATTATCTAATTCCCCTGACCTTAAAACTCCTGTCATCATTCATCTTGTTACTCATAATCAAATTGTTATTTTTGGTACCATGGGCGTAATTTCCACTGGGGACAGGGGGGACATGTCCCCCCCACTTTTCAAAATCCCGTTTGTGTCCCCCCCACTTTTCAAATGTGTTTTTGTGATCATCGTCACGGAGGAGCGTCTGTGTGTGTGTGTGTGTGGCAGGAGCGCATTTTGTGTGTGAGAGAGAGACAGAGAGAGACAGAG